TTTTGTGTGTATGAGGGTGTTTGTTTTTGTGAATTTAACCCTAGGGCAGGGTGCCCCTATTTTTTTTATCTTGAATTATTCGTTACATCCCAATCTATTGAAATATCACGATTTTATTTAGGGACAGGCCTACCCTGAAAGACTTCTAGGACAAAATTATTTTCTAGATGTCACTTTTTTCGGGAAATCGTTTTCTTCTATAAGTCATTTTTTTGTCAAAGTGAATAGGATATGATGAGCGATGTCGGAAACTACTCTTTTTAATATATGTCATAATTATTCATACATTAAACACAGAACAGAAATAATTCCTCCTTTTTGAGATTATTCTGATAATAAATTGATAAATTTATTATTTATGTAAAGGCCGGGTAAATATTACAGTATTCCTATTACATACATTGCTTTTTATACCCCCCGCAAACAAAGTTTGGGGGGGTATATAGGAATCACCTTGTCCGTCTGTCTGTCCGTCTGTCCGTCTGTCTGTCTGCAATCGTGTCTGTCTGTCTGTCCATATCTTTCCGTCTTACATATCTTTCTTACAGAGGGACATTAGAATCTACTACTCCACAGTAAGATTGCTCATGACCTAAGGGTGTGTCATGACCTTGACCCAAGGTCATTTGGGGAAGTTCAAGGTCACTGGAAGAAAAATTTCATAATTCATGTCCGGTCCATATCTTTCTTATGGATAAACTTGGTAGGTTCTCATTTCACACAAAGATTGCCCATGACCCAAGGGTGTGTCATGACCTTGACCCAAGGTCATTTGAGGAAGTTCAAGGTCACTGGAAGAAAAATTTCATAATTCGTGTCAGGTCCATATCTTTCTTATGGATAAACTTGGTAGGTTCTCATTTCACACAAAGATTGCCCATGACCCAAGGGTGTGTCATGACCTTGGCCCAAGGTCATTTGAGGAAGTTCAAGGTCACTGGAAGAAAAATTTCATAATTTGTGTCCGGTCCATATCTTTCTTATGGATAAACTTGGTAGGTTCTCATTTCACACAAAGATTGCCCATGACCGAAGGGTGTGTCATGACCTTGACCCAAGGTCATTTGGGGAAGTTCAAGGTCACTGGAAGAAAAATTTCATAATTCGTGTCCGGTCCATATCTTTCTTATGGATAAACTTGCTAGGTTTTCATTTCACACTAAGATTGCCCATGACCGAAGGGTGTGTCATGACCTTGACCCAAGGTCATTTGGGGAAGTTCAAGGTCACTGGTAGAAAAATTTCATAATTCGTGTCCGGTCCATATCTTTCTTATGGATAAACTTGGTAGGTTCTCATTTCACACAAAGATTGCCCATGACCCAAGGGTGTGTCATGACCTTGACCCAAGGTCATTTGGGGAAGTTCAAGGTCCCTGGAAGAAAAATTTCATAATTCGTGTTTGATACATATCTTTATTATGGAAAAACCTACTTCTGAAAAACCCAGCGGGGGGTATTTTGTCCCGTTTGGACAGTTCTAGTTTTAACAGGATGCTTATTTTGTTTGTCAGTAATAGACACCCCCAACCCTAAAGCATATACACATGGAAAACGAGGCCACAGACTTGGGCTGACATACTTGAAAATCACGATTTGATGAATATATTGGGTCATTTACTAAGAATGATTTTTAAAAAGCATAATCTACATATTGAAATATTAGTACCACCTCTCTCACCCCCGCGCGCGCTCTCTGGAACATGCTGTCTATACCTTTTGATATTCAGACTAAATGAAAAATATCAACGTCTGAGCAAAATATACCCATAAAAAGATTCAGTATATATCTACATCTGACCTGTATTTAGCTATGTTATTGTAGACATTTACAAGTTTTACCCGATGCGTGATAATGATTATGTTACATACAGAATATATTGAGTACATGTAAGCCTGTGTACTAACTTTAAATAGTAATAATGTATTTTTTATTTAAATTTTCAGCATTACATTTTTCAAAAACTGATATTTTTTGAACATCTAGAGTTACTGATCTACAATCATTACGAGTACGAAAAATATTGAAGTTCCCTAAAAATTTTGACGTCATTTTCTGCACATTGTGACGTCACGAGAAAAAAATTGACGACTTGTCAAATGTTGAAAACAAACCAACAAAGCAAATAGACCTATTCTGGTTATAACCTGGCTACTGTGGAGGGCTTCTGTTAAACAATGGTCCACAACAGACATGCAGATGTGGAAAACACAGACTAAAACGAATACATTTCTACTTTTTTATGTTTTTAATTGAACTAAGAACTAGGCTTTTAAAATCTATGAAGCCTACCCTATTTACCATGCATAAATAATGTATTTATGCTAAAAAAGGATTTATGGTTGTGTGTATATAATTTACAGAAACTTTTTTAATGAAAGATTTAATCCTTGCAGTGCAAGGTTATAATAACATGGAATTATATAAAGGTAAATTTGCCTTCTGCATGCGCCAGCTGAGCAAACGAGAATCATAAATATTAATTTTACACATGGGGCGCATTCCTCTCGGAGAAAAAAACTTGTTGAAAAATACGCGTAAGATACCAATGTTTCATTTTATACTTGAATTTTTTTCCGAGAGGAATGCGCCCCACTTGAAATTTTAAAGTGAATCTGTAAAATCAGTGAAAAAATCCGGAAAAGTCAAAACTTATATAGGTTTTAGCCGTTACGATGCAAAAGTCAACGTCCGGTTTGACTAAATCTACCCACCCCTGCATTGACGAAGTCAAGTAGATATGGAAACCACAAATACTTTTGAACGATTTATTTTTTAAGAAATCCACAGGCCGTATATTGTACTTTCTGACTTTTCTTCTTTTACACTTTAATCTGTAAAATTTACACTTTAATCTGTAAATTTTACACTTTAATCTGTAAATTTTACACTTTATTTTGAACAATCTGAACTGTTATCGGTTATAATTAAACGGTCGATTCGTGATGTTTTACCTATGACACTTGTAAAAAAAGTATTAAACTGAGGTTTTCACAATTGCTTGCATATTTTGTTTTACATGTATATGTTTATTAGTATATGACATACAAGGATGGATGATTTCCTCGTGAGTCTCGTAATTTTCCAGAGCATAAGAAATCAGGGATCTGCTTTTGTTTCAGTATATCGTCATGTGTTTCTTTAGTTTTACTATAGTGTAACAAACAGTAAAAAAATATATATCTCAAAGATTTTTTATTTGCAATTCAGATTGATATTACAAGTTCATGGTTCTATGGTCATGATGAAATGATATATTAAAATTACGTCATTTTTTAATGTAGCATTAAAGAAACGTCATTGAATCAAAAGATAAATAACATTGCCGTTCCAAAATTAATATGAACATACTTTAGTTATTTATATACGTACATGTATATACTTTTGGTTATTTAAAAAAATTCAATTAATTTAACTGTTGCCGTAAAATTACAGATTCAATAATTGAACTTCTGCGCATTTAACGAATTTGCCTATGATGATATCAATATCACATTCATCGAGAATATGTACATGTATTTTTGATATGCTCTTCTTTTATATTCTAGGAAAAGTTTTACTTTTATCAGTAATACTAATTTGCTTATCATTTGCATTTATTGTAAAATAAAAAATCAGAATAAAATGCTATCTTGCATGATTAACGGTCTATGGCTTTAAAATGCGATTGTTATCAATAACAAACAGAATATAAAACCAAACAATAAAATTAAAACATCAATTATAACAACAGTTGCAGGTTACTGAGGATGTGTGAAGTTGCTAAATTGACTATGTGAATTAACAAATAAAGTGTAAAATTTACAGATTTAAGTGTTAATTTTACAGATTAAAGTGTAAAATTTACAGATTAAAGTGTAAAATTTAATGATTAAAGTGTAAAATTTACACTTTAAAGTGTAAAATTTACAGATTAAAGTGTAAATTTTACAGATTAAACTGTAATTTTTACAGATTAAACTGTAAATTTTACAGATTAAAGTGTAAATTTTACACTTTAAAGTGTAAAATTTACAGATTAAAGTGTAAATTTTACAGATAAAAGTGTAAAATTTACAGATTAAAGTGTAAAATTTACAGATTTAAGTGTAAATTTTACACATTAAAGTGTGAAATTTACACATTAAAGTGTAAAATTTACACATTAAAGTGTAAAATTTACACTTTAAAGTGTAGAAATTTAAAAAAAAGTGAAGTGTCCAAGTGGCACTAATACGCTTCCATAATTTTTATTATCATTTGCATTTATCATAAAATAGATAATCAGAATTAAATATTATCTTGCATGATTAACGGTCTGTTGGCTTTAAAATGCGTTACTAAGGATGTATGAAGTTGCTAAATTGACTATGTGAATAAACAAATAAAGTGTGAATTTTACAGATTAAAGTGTAAATTTTACAGATTAAAGTGTACAATTTACAGATTGAAGTGTAAAATTCACAGATTAAAGCGTAAAATTTACAGATTAAAGTGTAAATTTTACAGATTAATGTGTAAAGTGTAGAAATTAAAAAAAAGTAAAGTGTGCAAGTGGCACTAATACGCTTCCGTACATTATAGCTCCAATTCAGGTGAATTACATTTTACAGATTTTCGAATCAGTTGTTCTCTAAATATATCCAAGCTTAATATGTCTGTGGCGGCATCTCGTTACATTGTTAATCGAAGTAATTATAACTCTGGTCTTCAAAACTTGTATAGCACCCCACAGTTAAAGCTATCAATTATATAAACTGTGAAAACTATAATCAAAACAATTCGATGCTAATTGTGAACCACTAGATCACTAGATCAAGTCTAACGGTACATAAGATTAGGGAAATGTATTAGTATACATTTATCAACAATATAACATTAATTTTCTTGATATGTACCATGTAAAATGTATATTATATGAGTAACCGAATAGCAGTTTCACTAACTGATACTCGCATCATTCGACTGTTAACCGGTTACTCATTGACAACAGTAGAATTAACCTAGGTGTATTTTGGTAGATTTCTGGCCAAGGCTCAGAGACAGGATCAGGAAGTATGCTGTTTGTGTTTGGAGATGCTATGTGATCTCATACCCTTATTACAGTCAGGCAAGGATATGGCTAGTCCGTCTATCAAGGAGAGTAGAGATGCTGCCCTCACCCTCTTGTCAGCTTTTCTGTAAGTATAATCAAATTTTTAGCTCACCTGAGCCAAAGGCTCAAGTGAGCTTTTCTGATCAAAATTTGTCCGTTGTCTGTCGTTGTAGGCGTTGTCGTTGTTGTTGTAAACTTTTCACATTTTCATCTTCTTCTCAAGAACCGCTGGACCAATTTCAACTAAACTTGCTACAAAGTATCCTTGGGTAAAGGGGATTCAAGTTTGTTCAAATGAAGGGCCATGCCCTCTTCCAAGGGGAGATAATTATAAATTATTAAAAAAATAATGGTATTTTTTAAAAAATCTACTTCAAAAGAACCACTTGGTCAGAAAAGATGACACTCATATGGAATCATCCTCAGGTAGTGTAGATTTAAATTTGTTCAAATCATGACCCCCGGGGCAAGGGTGGGGCCACAATGGCCGATCAAAGTTTTACATATTTGGAAATATAAATATGGGAATATACAGGAAAAATCTTTAAAAATCTTCTCAAGAACCATTGGGAGAGGAAAGATGAAACTCATGTTCAATCATCCTCAGGTAGGGTACATTCAAGTTTGTTCAAATCATGACCCCTGCACAAGGATGGGGCCACAATGGCTGATCAAAGTTTTATAGGAATATTTAGGAAAAACCTTTAGAAATCTTCTACTCAAGAACCACTAAGCCAGGAAAGATGAAACTCATGTGGAAGTATTCTTGGGTAGTGTAGATTCAATTTTGTTCAAATCATGACCCCCGGGGGTAGGGTGGGGCCACAATGGCTGATCAAAGTTTTACATAGGAATATACTGTAAAACGAGAATATTTGGCGCACTACTTATTTGAGCGCCTTTGGCGCAAGAGCCCCAGAGCGCTAAAATTTATTGTGTGCTAAAGGATTTCTAAATATCAATTTTTGTGTGTGTTCAAAGCTTTTACATAAGTACATGTAAACGGGAACGCGCGATTAGTGTAAACACTCCATTTCTTTTAATTGAAAATAGAAAAAAAAATAAATTTTAACATCGTACATTTAGCTTTGCCTGATCAAAGTTTTACATAGGAATGAATATAGGAAAAATCTTTAGAAATCTTCTTCTCAAGAATAACTGGGCCAGGAAAGATGAAACTCATTTGAAATCATCCTTAAGGTAGTGTAGATTCAAGTTTGAAAATGTTCAAATCATGACCCCGGGGGTAGGGTGGGGCTAAAATGGCTGATCAAAGTTTTGGACTATACAGGGAAATCTTTTAAAATTATCTTTTCAAGTACTTCAAAGCCATGACTAGTGATATTTATATGGAATCATCCTCAGGTAATGTAGATTCTAGTTTGTTCAAATCATGACCCCCAGGGATAGGTTGGGGCCACAATGGGGGATCAAAATTTTACATAAAGTATATTAAAAAAAATCTTCTCAAGAATAGTGAAGCCATGATTAGTGATACTAGTATTTATATGGAAGCATTCTCAGTTAGTGTAGAATTAAATTTGTTTAAATCATAACCCCAGGGGTAGGGTGGGGCCACAATGGTGGATCAAAGTTTTACATAGAAAAGTAAAGGAAAAAATCCCAAGAACAGAAAGCTATGTTTAGTCATCTTGACATGTATGCATCCTCATGTATCAAAGATTTAAATTTATTCAAAATATGACCCTTTGGGGTAGGGAGGGAAACAATGGGGAATCAAATTCAAATTATTATGAAATTATATATAGGAAGAAAATGTTTTTAAAAAATCTTTTATCAAGAACAGCAAAGTCATATGCTATATTAATATGAAGACACTCTCAAGTTGTATTAAAATTCAACCCCCCCCCCCCCCCCCCCTTAGTAAACTTTTCAGTTCTGATCTGATTTGTGCTTTTTCCTAGCCGATTTGCTCAGGTGAGCAATGTGGCCCCTGGGCCTCTTGTTTTTTAAAATGATCACAATACAGGCAATGCAGTTCTCTTTTTCAGTGTTCCTGAAGGTGAGAATGTCTTTATGGTATAGAAGGGTAAAGTAGGTAAAACTGCACTTAAGGATATGCAAAAATTGCATCAAAAAACTTTCAAAACAGACATTTTTCTTTTAATTGCAGGAATGATCAACATCTAATCCAGGGTTCTCCACAAGGGGTTTTACCATGCAGGTGCACCATGGTTAAATTTGTGTGCGCCATGGTTAAATTTGCTGCGCCATGGTTAAAATCCGCGCCCGCCATGGTTAAATTTTAGAATTTAAAACTTTCATTTTCAGAGATGACACCTGCAATATACTATCTGAGTAGTTAATTGTGTTTATACAACGTGGTGTGAAGCCCCCCAAGCGCACGGGGACAGGTAATAGTGAAAGGCCTAATTACCCACGGTCGATCAGCTGCGAATGTGCCGTGAAGCGTGAGAATTCATGAACTGAAGGTCGGTCGGCCAGCTGTTTTAACAGTATGAGTAGTTATCTACTATATAAACTACTGTTAACGGGGCTTTGTATTTTTGTATTACACGTTATTTTGTGGAATTCTAACTGTGTTCAGTTCACTACATAATAATTAAAAGATTTACAAGAATTCAAAGACATAGTAACGATGTCTCGTAGTAGACACGCATCCGAGCCAGGGCAGTCGAAACTAAATAGTTTTTTTTAATGTCGGCAATCTTGATGATATTAGCCCAAAAATACTCTGTAAAAAATTCATATTCCTCTGTATTTAATCAATTTCCCATGCTATGTTTTTCAAGCTTTAACTTTATTATCGTTTTCGATAAAATGTGCATAGGACCTAAGTGTCAATCGCCGTCTTATTTTTAGAGTTACTTCCTGTTGTTATGAGACGTCGCGTGGCGCTATTTTTAGCACTGGGGCACATGGAGAAGTAAACAAAACTTGGTGAAAAATGCATTATCTAGAAAAATAGAGTGCTTAGAAAAAAAGGACACTTATACAATTGTTCCTTTGTGTGTTTACTTAAAAAAAATACTACCTATTCATCAGTTTTAGTCATATTTAAACAAAACATTTCATACAACAGGCTACAACAATTCTTACAATTATTAATTTCTGAATGATATTGCCCTGGTTAATGTATCAACAATTTTTTTTAATTCCTTCGGAAGATTACTACAGTTTTGGGCAAATTCTGGTACATTTGTGAGGTAAAATACAGGATAAATCCTTTTCAATTTTAATTCTTATTTTTTTTTTAACGTTAAACAGAGTTAGTTATTCCATTGTTTTGTGTTGCAATGGTAAAGTTTACAAATTATAAAACCAGTCATTGATTAATGAAGATTAGGAAGTCCAACGCGCATTCGTGTTTTCGGTCACATTTTGTCTTCACGCAGCTTCCTCCATGGTTAAATTTTCAAATGTGGAGAACCCTGTAATCTACAACTTTACTTAATTAAAATGAATAAAAGTTTGTGTTTATGATGTACAAATATGTTTTCTAAGTCGAGGGTCATCACAATTTCTTCAATCTCCATAAGATAATGAGGACGCACACTTTTTTACTGACTTCATACATTATAAGTCAGCGCATGTTTGTCTATTGTTCTCCTTTTTTAGGTCAACTCAGGTGACCTATTGATATCAATTTTTAGCTCACCTCAAGGAAGTTGGGGGAGCTTATGTAATACCCTCGGCGTCTGCTTTGGCGTCCCAGGTTAAGTAGAAGTTTTTTGGAGCAGTTTTCTTTTTAAAAACTTCTATGTCCTGTATTGCTTAGACATGCATAGAAGATGCTTCTAGTGTGTTTTATTGTACCAGTCAAGGTTTCAGATGCTGCAATTTCAGCAAAGGAATGACCAGGTTAATGTTTTTGGAGCAGGTTAACATTTTTGGTGCAGTTTTTGGTGTAGGTCGCATTTCCAATTAACTATAAGCCCTATGTTGACCAAACTTGTATGGATGATACATCTAAGGATGCACACTACCAGGCTTGCTTCGGATGCTGAATCTGACCTACATTTTCCGCATGAGTGAACAGGTTAATATTTTTTGTGCAGGTTTCATTTACAAGATACTATGAGCCCTATAATGACCAAACTTGCATAGATGGTACATCTAAAGATGCATACTACTAGATTTGCTTCGGATGCTGAATCTGACCTACATTTTCCGGTTGAGTGAACAGGTTAAAGTTTTTGTTGCAGGTTTCATTTCCAAGTTACTATGAGCCCTATAATGACTTAACTTGCATGGATGATACATCTTAGGATGCATAATACCAGACTTGCTTCGTATGCTGAATGTGACCTACATTTTCTGATTGAGTGAATAGGTTGAAGTTTTTCGTGCAGGTTTCATTTCCAAGGTACTGTGAGCCCTATAATGACTAAACTTGCATGGCTGATACATCTGAGGATGTATACTACCAGACTTGCTTCGGATGCTGAATGTGACCTACATTTTCTGGCTTAGTGAACAGGTAAAAGTTTTTGGTGCAGGTTTCATTTCCAAGGTACTATGAGCCCTATAACGACTAAACTTGCATGGCTGATACATCTGAGGATGCATACTACCAGGCTGGCTTTGGATGCTGAATGTGACCTACATTTTCAGGATGAAAATGTAGATTAAAGTTTTTGGTGCAGGATTCATTTCCAAGTAACTATGAGCTTTTTAATGACCAAACTTGCATGGATGATACATCTAGGGATGCATTCTACCAGGCTGGCTTCGGATTCTGAATCTGACTTACATTTTCTGGATGAGTGAAAAGGATAGTTTTTTTATGCAGGTTTCATTTCGAAGTAACTAGTCTATGAGCCCTATGTTGAGCAACTTGCATGGATGATACATCTTAGGATGCACACTATTGGACTTGCTTCGAATGCTGAATTTGACATACATTTTCCAGATAATGGACCAGGTAAAAGCTATGGTTGCAGGTCTATTACCAAGAAACTATAAGGCTTACCTAAATTAAACTTGCCCAAATGATGCATCAAGGGATGAAAACTCTAAAACTTGCTTCAGATGCTGGATTTTAATTACCTTTTCATGACGAAGAACTAGTTTGAAGTTTTTATATAGATCTAATCCAAAGTA